CAAATGATTAGATATATAGATGTTTTTCAAGGTCTTACTTGTGTTTTGGATGGCACATTAACAAGTGCTAATTATTAAAATTAACTACCTAAATTTCCAAACTAATAATCAAAAGCATGGCATTCATGGGGCTGGCCCAGTGGCATAGTGGTTAAGTTTGCACACTCCACTTCAGCAGCCTGGGGTTCATAGGTTCGGAACCCGGGCGTGGACCTAGCACCACTTGTCAAACCATGCTGTGATGGCATCCTACACAAAACAGAGGAAGACTGGGACAAATATTAGCTCAGTGACAATATTCCTCAAGCAAAAAGAGGAAGATTGGCAACAATTGTTAGCTCGGGACGATTCTTCCTCACACACACACAAAAAACGCGGGGCATTCATGGACCAATGATGACAGTATGTCATGAATCATATCAAGGATTATAATTAATCTAATTCTGTGCACTTGATGTCCAGAGGAAATTATTTCTTAAATAAAGGATAGGAAAGGTATACTAGGCTAATATTTTCTAAAAGATTTTGTACTAGCTACATTAATATCAACAACATAAGCATTGTTAGATATAAAGACTTTATGATTAAAGGAATAATTCCACAAGAAGACACATAATTGCTGAACCTCTGTATACCTAAAATCATATCCTTGGAATCTATAAAGCAAAACCAACAGAATACTAGGAGAAACGGACAAGTCCCCTCCCACAGCATAGTATTAACAAACCTCTCCCAATAATCAATAGATCAAATAGACAAAAACTTAGTAAGGATGTAAAAGAATTTGAACAATACAATTAACAAACTTGAGAAACTAATATTTTCAAAATAGAAAATCTGCTAACATAATTCTCCACATTAATAGGTTAAAAGAAAAAATATATTACCATTTTAACATATGCAGAAACATTATTTGATGACATTCAAGACCCATTCATGATGAAGACTTCTAGTACATGAGGACTAGATGGGAATGTTCCTAATGTTATGAGGATAATAATCAGAAACGCACAGCAAATATGCTATTTGCAGATGTATCCACTCAAAATTAGAAATAAGATAAGGATGACTATTACTATGACTTCTCCTTGACATTGTGCTGAACAGATGACTAGTGCATCAAGATAAGAAAGAGAAGAAAGCAAAGGAAGAAAGAAAACTCTCCTTATTCATAATATGATTGTATAAAAATACAGTTATGTTTGGTTCTCAAGAAAAGATGATGAAACAATGGGGGAAGTGTGTTGAGAGCAGTCACTGGAGGTAGTGGGGTGGTATTATGGACTGAATATTTGTGTATGCCCAAATTCATGTGTTGATGCTTTGACCCTCAATGTGATGGTATTTGGAGATGGGACCTGTGGGAAGTAATTAGGGTTAGATGAGGTCATGAGGGTGGGGCCCTCATGATGGGATCAGTGCCCTTTTAAGAAGAGACACCAGAGAGCTTGACCCTCCTCCCTCCTTGGACTTCCTAGCCTCCAGAACCGTGAGAAGCAAATTTCTGTTGTGTAAGCCACCCAGCCTATGGTATTCTGTTATGGTAGCCCAAGCAGACTAAGTCAGATGGGGTGAGATGAGCAGGGAAGGAAAGAAGTTGGGATGGGAGGACTTTTAGATTGATTTAGCTGAGAGACTGTTGTGGAACACATTTACATTGCACATACACTAAATGATTAGTTCAGGATAAACATATATGGAAACAGACAATTTCATGCAATACACAAGGCTTTACTTTTTTCTTTTTTTGAGGAAGATTTGCCCAGAGCTAACATCTGCCAATCCTCCTCTTTTTGCTGAGGAAGACTGGCCCTGAGCTAACATCCATGCCCATCTTCCTCTACTTTATATGTGGGATGCCTACCACAGCATCACTTTTGCCAATCAGTGCCATGTCCACACCTGGGATCCGAACTGGCAAACCCCGAGCCGCCGAGAAGTGGAACGTGCGCACTTAACCGCTGCGCCACCGGACCAGCCCCAAGCCTTTACTTTTTAATATTAATTTACTTTTAAAATCCAAGTGAGTGCAGTCTATAATACACTTTTTTAAAAATCTGAGGTAAAAGAAAAAGTCCCACAAAAAACTTTAACTTACAAGAGAAGTCTCTCACTGCTATGTCAGATGATCCTTTTTCCTTGATATATCATTTTCAAACTTAGTAATATCACCTTCTATTTGTTAAATGTAGCATTTATAGATTACAGTGTCCTTTCACATAATGGCTATTTGCTGTTCCTCACAACAATCTTGCAAAGTAAGAAGATAGGTGAAGAAACTGGGGCCTTGAGAGGTTAAGTACAGTAATAGATGCCAGTGGTGTCCTGCCGGGGTGCCCTTCACCCAGTCAGTACACCCATTTCCTGATTGCAATGCACCCACCCTTTGATTGCTGAGTTGGCGGCTAATGGCTCAAATCCGCCCCTTCTCTGAAGAATTACCCTTGGACAAAGGGGCTGCTCTCCTCTCTCAGGGCAGCCTTCAGTCAATGAGTGACTCACTGAGGGTACAAAAGGCTGGCCCTCGCCTCAAGGGCAAGTTTTATTCGAGGCCGGTCTTCCAAATCAGGCTAGGGCTAAACTTTAACTGAGACCACATCTTGCTCAGCCCATTCCTCTCCCATATCCTGCTTCCCTCACTGCCTTGCGTTTTTTTTCCCTGCAGCTTATTTCTCCTCAGTAATTCCCCTGGACCTGAATCCCTGCCTAGGTTCTGCTTCTTGGAAACCCAACCAAGTGAGGTCCACACTCTAGAACTCACTGCGCATGGACTCCATCCCTGGGACCTGACTCCTGGCCCCCTTTTTCACTATACCATGTGGTATGGAGACACAACAAAGGATGAGAAGAGACTACTTCAATATTTGAACTTTTGACCCTTAACTCACTCAAGACAGGGGACTCTATCCATGACAATTACTGTAACCACTGATAGCTAATCCCCAGACCATTTCTGTTTGGTAGGGGAAGGTATTCTATACTTAACATTTCTATCAAATGATCCCAGAGCTTTATCCTTTACACCTGCTGTGATGTGGAAATTCATCTTGTGCTGCCCCCCAAAGTGTAGAACTTTTCTCTGATAGAGAGGGAAATGGATGCCTTAGTTTAAGCTGACATTTTATGGAATTCTTAGGTGATGCTGTGTATGAGGTAATTTATCTCCCTGTGATGGGAAACTTAATACGGGCTTTGACTTAAAATCCAACTTCCTAGGCCACTCACTCAGTGGAGAAACAAGAAAAAAGGAGATAGAGACTGGGATCGAGAAAGGACTCAGTCACCACATCCGCTTAATGATCTCAACCTGAATCAACATTTACATTTCAAATTTGCTTCAAAGTTATCCAAAGGAAGTGAGTATAATATAATATATATAATAAACAATAAATACATAATAATATAATACATGTTATATATAATATAACATAATATGATATGATATAATATAAGGTATAAATGAAACAAATGGGCCATGAGTTGGTAACTGTTGAAAGTGGGTGATGAGTACATGGGGGTTCACTATGCTATTCCACTGTTGTTTGTTTGAAATTTTCCAGAGGGGTTAAATTATATAATCCCCAATTCAAGAGTTGGCTGCCCCGTGCAACACATTTTGGAGTTACTGAAAACGGCACAAAGCTCAAATCGTGTATGCACAGGGACCATCCTGAGCAAACTGCAGGATGTTCCTGCCTTCACTCCCATCTCTAGGGAAACTTCCAAACATCAAATACATTAAAGGAAAAAGATGGAGCTGCAGCCTTGGTGAAGAAATCATAAGAGGGAACAAGGGAGGGGAGGCCAAGAGAGCCTTTCGGATCAAGCCTCAAGCCTGTTTTAGTCCCAAGAAGAGTGGATTCCTGCTCCCCATGAGGAAACTTCCCTGGGAAAGAGCTTCCTTTGGGTGCAGAACACACAAGGTACATAAGTCTTCTTTGAGCTGCTACCAACACATTCTCTCACCCATTATCCAAACTCTAGGAAAACTTCCCAACAACATACAGGGAGGCAAATTTTTCTCCAGACCTAAGCCAAGCAACAGAAAGGAAAGATTCAGGAGACTTCAGACAGCAGTTTTTAAAGCATCTTATCTGGATGGTGATCCCAATCTCTGATGTGGCCTTGTACCCAGGATACAGAGGACTTTTTGTAACGCTGAAGACGTGACGGAAAAGCACTAAAGGAGTTTCAGGTGACTAAGCTTAAGTGAGGAAATGTGAGAATACCAATATGAAGCATGACACTATAAACAGATAGGGATTTGGAGTCAAAAGTCAAGGGTTTAACTAAAAAGATCTGATGTTAGATGTTAACATTAAGGGAAGCTGGGTGACGGATATATGAGAACTCTATTTTTGCCACTTTTTTATAAGTCTAAAAGTATTCCAAAAATAAAAAGGTACTAAAAATAAAAGTCCAGGGTTTAAACCCTGGCTCTGATGCTTGGATTTTCTGAGCCTCAGATTCCCCATCTGTAAAATGAGATCATGATAATACTCATTCTCCTGCGTGGCTGTTGTAAGGACCAAATGTGGTTAAGTAAAGGGAAGAACTCTGCAAACAACAAAACACCCAGCCAATGCTGGTCACTATTCCAAGGGAGTGTCATGTAGGAGCCAGAGGGAAGCAGTAAGGCAGAAAAGATGTTTACCATGTCGGTACTGGCCATGGGAACACCAAAGACCCATTTATCATAAAACATCAGCAGGGCTCTATGTGATCTTTAGGAATTAAACACAGATACAGACCTTTCAGGCAAGTCGGCTACAGCAGCACCATTTATTACAATATTGGGAAGGTTTAGCAGCCATCTCAATGAGAATAAATAAGAGATGGGGGTAGTAAGAACTGGGAAGGGGTAAAGGAACCAAAGGGAAAGCAGCAGCTTCAAAAACCCAAACCTTCCTCTTCAGATGCCCCTGGACCACAGGTCAGCATTTGTTCTAAAACACATTTAGTGGAGACAGGAAGAAAGGCATTTTCTAGTCTTAACCTACCCCCACACGACTTGGCCAATGATCCAGAAAACTTGCACATAGCAAAGTTTAGACCAGCTCAGCCACCATGTGGATCTTTTGATGGCGGATGAGATTGCAGTGGCGATTAAAGCTTTTCCCACATTCGTTGCACTGGTGAGGTCGCTCCCCGGTGTGGCTTCTCTGATGCTCGATGAGAAATGAACGCCGACTGTAGCTCTTACCGCACTGGCTGCACTGATGGGGCTTTTCTCCCTTGTGGATTCTCTGGTGCTGGATAAGACCTGCACTCTGACTGAAGGCCTTCCCACACTCCTTACAGTGGTACCGTTTCTGTATATTGTGGATTCCTCGGTGATTAAACAGGCCAGAACTGCGACTGAAGGTTTTCCCACACTCGTTACATTCATAGGGTCTTTCTCCAGTGTGAATTCTCTGATGTCGAATGAGACCTGAGCTCTGAGCAAAGCTCTTCCCACATTCATCACATTTGTGCTGTCCTTCTCCTAAGGGCTTTCCCCAGTGCCCTTCTATCCGACCCTTGTGTTCACCAACTTCTCCACGTTGGTGATTCTGGTGTGATACCTCCCAGATCCGTCCATAAAATATTTTCCCATGTGGCTCCACTACCTTAGGACAGTCTTTCCTTAGCACCAACTCTCTGTCCTCAGTCTTGGTCATTTCATCTGAAACAAAAAAGACCAGGTAAATATCACTTGTTCCCTGAGTCTATGGGAGGGTCACTATGTGCTCAGAAATACAAGGTGCTTCTAACCTGATGTAACCCTACAGCAGAGTAGGGAGGTTAGAAACAGAAGGGCCAGGTGGTAACACCTTCCTCCAGGTAATACAGAAGCCTGCCTTCTTTGGCAAAATGCAGCTCAGTCCATCCTTACGTGGACTGGGCCTGGAAAGATTTTTTTATACTTGCTCAAGGGAAAGAAGGGTCAGAATCAGGTGGCATCTCTGGAGTTTTCCCTTAGAACACTCTCCTCATTTTGAAGTAGGGAGCCTTAACTTCCCAAGGAAAGTTACCTCATGTATACATTCATTCATTCATTCATTTATGGAACAAGTATTAAGCTTGTACTATTCTAGGTGCTTCAGGAAGTACTTTATGACTTTCAAATCCACAGCCATCCTAGGTGCATTCCCAGTACAAGGCCTGCACTCTAGCATTTCTCTCTTCTGAAAAGCTCTCACCTCAGATAACAGCAAGGCTCTCTCTCTCACTTCCTTCAAGTTTTTGCTCAACTCTCACCTTCTTAATTCTTTTATTTAATACTGCAATCTGTTTGCCCCATCCACAGCATTCATAATCTCCCTTATCCTGTTTAACTTCTGCTTTATTCCAAAGCACGTGCCACCTTCTAACATACTATATCATCTCCTTATTTGTATGTTTTTTCTTTGTCTTCCTCTTGCTACAATCTAATCTCCATGACAGCAGTATCTTTCTGTTTTATTCCCTGAGAATCATGCCTGGCACATAGTACTTGCTCAATAAATATTTGTTGCATGAACGAAAAAGAAAGTATTGAAATCAATCTTATTACTATGGCCTCAACTGACTGGCCCAGGGACTGGCACCTGAGCCAAAGGCGGCCCCATAGGACTGGCCCATATTGGACAGGGTCCAACCAACTCAATCAGACCCTCTTTACTTGGAGGAGTTTAAGGTGAGAATGGAGATAAATAGACAAAAACTGTCTAAACACTAGAGTGCAGCTGCTGTGGTGTCCTTAGGATGTCTTAGGTTCCCTGGGTGTGATTCCACCTTGTAACCCAGAAAAGCCCAAGGAAAACAGCCCCCGACCCCTTCTTTTTACAAAACATCTGGCTCTTCCTCTCACATCAAACTGCATTGTCCCTCATGCTCCTGGATAGGTACCTCTTAGGACTCCTCTGTTGTTAGACCATGGCTCTCTTCCTTCTTTTAGCTGAGATATGACAACAGGTTTGGAAAACAGAAATGTGTCTGCAGAGAAGAAACGGGCCACAAGTGGGATCAGTCCTACCCTTTTGCCCAAACTTCACATTTATATCTGAAATGTACAAGGGAATTGGGTAGAATATAAAAACGAAGACATTTCCCACCTTTCGGTAATTACCATTTACACAGCCTTCCATGACTTACAAAGTCCTTTCACAGACATATCAAACTAACTCACCACAAAACCCTTTAAAGTTATTATCCCACCTCTTTAAGAAGTGGGGAAAAAAAGAAAGATAAATATATAGGTAGACATATATAGCTATATATTTAGAAAAAAGTCTGGAAAATACACAGCAATTTGGTAAGAGTGGTTATTCCTGGGGAGTGAATTTGGAGGACAACCTCCACTTTTACTATATAAACCTTTATTATTTGGATTTTTTACAATCAGCATGAATTCAAAAAGAAACTCAAACTCAGTGATCTGAAATAACTTTAAATGTTGCTTAGCTGAAAAACAGAAGAGCTGGAACTTGGATTTGGTGCTTGTAATCTCCAACATTTCCTCTGTCACTATGTTGCTTTACAAAATTGGCTTTTCCTGAAAGTATAACACACAGCTGCACTGATGGTCCTACAGGGAGAACTCTCCCATCTGTAGATGCCCTCTGGATACTTTCCAGTAGCCATAGTAAATGCTTAATAAATATTTGCTGAAGGAATGAATGACTAAATGGATGGATGGATGTGTGGATGAACTTACTTAGATGTGCCTCTTGGAAGAGGGGTTCTCAGCCACATTCTGGATGCTGTCTAGAAGGCAGAAGAAAGGAGAAGATGGCCAGAAAACGAAAAGTCCAAGTTCATGAGGAAATGAAGAAGAAAGAAACAAAGAAACTGACTGGAAAGATACTCTTAAAGGAAGAAAACAAAACCAGAAGAAATTTTAATCTGATGAGATCACGGGAGCCAAAGGAAAGTCTACAGTGGGCACAGAATTTACTCAACAAGTACATTTTAATTTAAATCAAGAGATGGGTTCCAAGTGACAGAAATCTGTGATAACAGTATGATTGCTAGGGTAGATGAAATAAATAGAAGCAGAAGACAGAGAGGCAACGGAAGGTGTGGCTCTGATACATATGGGGTAATGTGAAAATGAAAACAGCAGAACTCTGCTGTAGATTGATTGTCAGGTAACAAAAAGTCAGTGAGAGGCTGTGATGGTAAGTGTGGGAAATTAGACAGAAGCTGGAGCCAATGGCTGCAGGCAGAGCTAGAAAGGGAAGGCAGCTGACTCAGACCCAAGTGTCCAGTTCTGCCCCACTGGTACTCAGTACTGCCACCACTAAGATCACATATAAGGAAATGGCAAGTCTGACTCCACCAGATTCTCCAACCACCTGCCACCTACCGAGCATACCTCACACCTCTCTACTCTGAGTGTAAACCCCAGTCAGCAAGGGTGGCACTGGCAACTTCTGATAAGAACAGCTACTATGTACTAAGCATAACGCATGCCAAGTGCTCCTCATAAATTGTTTGTATTCATTGCTCACAACAACCTTCTGAGGTACATACCTGTTACAGTCTGAATTGTGTGTGCCCCCAATTCATATGTTGAAGGCCTAGCCTCTGAGAGACTCTCTTTGCACACAGGGCCTTTAAGAAGGTAATTAAGGTTAAATGAGGTCATAAGGGTGGGGCCTTAATCCAGTAGGACTGATGTCCTTACAAGAAGAGGAAGAAACACAAAAGCTGGCGCGCTCTCTCTCCACACGCATGTGCACAGAGAAGTGTCCATGTGAGACACAGCAAGAAGGTGGCCTCCTACAAGCTAGGAAGAGAGGTCTCCCCAGAAACCAACTTGATCTTGGATCCCTAGCACGCAGAACTATGAGGAAATACATTTCTGTTGTTTAAGCCCCCCAGTCTGTGGTATTCTGTTACGGCAGCCTGGGCGGACTAAGACAATACTACTATCCACCCCATTTGGCAGATGAGGGAACTGACATCAAGTAGTTAAGAAACCTGCACAAGTACAAGCAACTTCCAAGAGGCCAAGCCAAGATGTAACCTATGTCTGTCAAGCCTCGAAGCCCATTCTCTAAAGCTGCTCTCCATAGCGATTTCTGAAAGTCTTCCTAATGTATCACGTGCCAGAAGACCAGAGAGCTTCCAGGATGGTACCAAGGGGCAAGACTGCATGCAGGGGGAGGGGACAAAGAAGACCACCCTAGACGCTTAGAAGCACTGAGCATTGTTGCTATCTGGTAAAGTCTTCTGATCGCCTGTCTCCCCAGCTCTAGGTTTTGTGTTTTTGCTTGACCAGGTGGGATACGTTCAACATCAGATAAACCCTGTCCCTCACCTGCCTCTCCAATAGAGCGCGGCTCCTGAGCAGGGTCACATAAGAGCTGGGGCTCCTTAGGCTCAGACTCAAGGCTCAGTGACGTCTGCTCTCCAAGAGGCACTGTCTCTTTAACGAGGTCTTCTTGTCCCCGTCTGTGGGCTACCATCTGAGGACAAAGAGACAAGATTTGACTTCTGCAGAAATTAACTGTCTAAAGAAATGCTTTCCAAAAATAAGCGGGAAATTCTATCACCAAAGTCAAGGAGATACAAAGCAGAGGATACAAAGGTCCTTGGTAACCAGCACATACTTCTTCCCTAGCAAATCACTTTTCCTACCTCATGCTGTGGTTCATCAAGCTCTCTCTCCAGATCCTCCAGCAAAGTCACAGCCTCTTCCCCACTCTCCGGACAGTGTTCCCTCACCCAGCCCTGCAGCTCCTTCGGCAGGATGGACAGGAACTGCTCCAGCACCAGCAGCTCCAAAATCTGCTCCTTAGTGCTCACATGTGGCCTCAACCACTGGTGGCAAAGTTCCCGGAGTCGGGTAAGAGCCTCCCTGGGTCCAGGGGTCTCCTGGTAGCAGAGCTGCCGAAAGCGCCTCCGGAAAATTTCCCTTGCCAGTGGATTATTGCGTTTCAGTCTGGATTCCTGCATTTGGAGCTGACTTTCTGTCTTCATTTTCACTCTGAGAAGTTCTTCCCTCACTTCGGGAGCTTGAACATCCAGGGATAAAACCTCCTTTGAGCCTGTATTCATCTTGACCTTGAATAACTTAAAAAGTACCCTCCAGCTGGAGCTTGTTTCAGAAGCACCTCTGAAGGTTTCCTCCTAAGCAGTAAAAATCATTTATATAGAAAAAAGGCAATAGCCGAAGACAGCAACTGATAATATAAGCAATTATCCTAGACCCTAAAGCCCTTCAATGAAAGTAAAGTGACTTGGTGACCAAAGGATGGGAATGATGGAAAACATAAGGCATAATGAGCACAGGCTTTCAAGCTATCCAGACCTAGGTTTTATTCCGATTCTAACATTTACTAATTGTGTGCCAATTCCTTAGCTTCTTTCAAGCTCCAGTTTCTTAATGTGAAAAAGAAATAGCAAATAATACCTTATGGAGTTCATGGAAGAATTAGGCACCACACAGACCACTCAGAATGGTTAAAAAGTTCAGCCCCACTGTATAAAAGCCAAAGCAGAGAAAAAATAAATGGAAATATTGTTCCTGTATTTGACTAAATGAATGAACTCACTTTTATTTTGAAATCTTGAGTTTTTAAAATTAATCTCTTCAAAACAACCATTTAGAGTTGGTATCATTTTCACTAAATTGACAGAAAGGAAAATTCTGGTAGATTCCAAGTCCTGTGAGCTTTCCACCCTGCTCGGCTGCTGCCTGCGAGTAATGGTCAGCACTGCCAAACAGTCACAACATGCTTTCTACACAGGACCATATTTAATCCTCACAATCACCCTCTGAGGTTTGATGACCACAATCACTATGTCACTACATAAGAAATGCAGGCCAGGGGAAGTTTAGCAGGGAGCCTAAGATCAAATTCTTTGTGAGGACAATCCTAAGAATCCACAGAAGCCGGAAGGAAGTCTTCTGCTCATACCCAGGCGGTGCCTGAAACCCAGGAGACCTGTGTGTCTCCAAAACCTCAGGAAGTGCAGCCCAGCAGCTGAATTCCAGCTTGACCAGGCAGGCCTGCCACAGACATCTAGGGAATCAGAATTGGGGATGGGGGGGGGGCGGGGGAAGAGAGCCCCCGAATATGCATCTTTAACAGGCTCCCCAGGGATGTGCATGCACTCTGCGGTTTGAGAATCAATGAACTATGGGAAAGGGAATCGGGAAGTGCCACATTCTGCAATGAAAATCGGTCCATTCAACGCCCCTTCATCTGCTTTTAGAACCAAAATGTTCTGTCTGAGAGGGTATACTGGCTCTCCATGGCGAAGGCTGCACAGTCATTTTTAATTTGTTCTTGACTTCCTCTCCCCGAAGGTATGTCCCCAGACTCCAGGCGTTTCCTACTCTGAGTCCTAATCCGGCTGTGGTTATTCACGGTCACGACCCTTCAGCCTCGCAGGCCTCCCACAGCCCTCTCCCGTGCCCTGTCCCCACAGCCGGGGATGAGGAGCCTGGTCCAGGGGGCGCCCGGAGCTGCCGAGCACAGGCCACAGCCTCCCCCTGCTCCGCCCTCCCCGGGGCTGAGGGTCACCGCCCACACCCCTTTCTCAGGCACACCAACAGACCGTAGGTTCCAGGGGCGGACTCACGAGACCTGCAAACGGCGAAAAGGGAGCCTGGCGCTATTGCCTGGGCGTGGGAACGAGCGCCCAGCCCGGACAATGGCCCGCCCGGAAGACGCCTGCCCGCCGCGCGGGGCCCACCAAGCAGAGGCACTTCCGGCCGGTCTAGGATTCCTTGTCTCGTTTCCTACCTCCGGCGCTTGCCTCACCTGGGCAGAAACCCCCAATTTCCTGGGTATACAGTTCTTTTTCAGCAGTGAGTCACGTGATCAGAATTTCATACATGTGTGGGCCCCATACAGGTTTAAACTGCAAACACAGATGAAGCATAGACTATTGAAAAATTTATTTTTAAAACATTTAAAAAGTAATACATTACCTATGGTTTAAAAAGAAAAAAAAACTCAGACTGCCAAAATTAATAAATTAGAAGGTGAGATCTCACCCTTAGTCCCACTTCCCTCTCTTTCTCTCTCTCTCTCTCTCTTTCTTTTCTCCCTTCCTATCTTTTGTTTTTTTGCTACAAAAGTTGTCTGAATTTTAGTAGTAATAAAAAATCAGTCCAAAACCAATTAAATTAGTTTTACTGGAACAAACAAGCGTGTTTATAAGTACTGTTAGTCAGTGATCAATTTTATTATGTCAACCAGAATGCTGGTATAGCTTAGGTTAAACTATGTTTTGTTTTGTTTTCAGAGACCCTCATTATTTTACCACGGCAGTCAGAAACTATCTCGTGTGTTAATGGAGGTTTTGTAATGCATTTAAACTCCAAAACTGTAGCTCTGTAAATTTCTTTAGTTATTTTCCTCAACCCAGCCACCTGAGGGCATTAAATAAACTCAAGCTTCATCCTTTACTTCAGCTTCTTCCAGATTTCCAAAGTGTGTAATCATTAAGAGCACCAGCATGAAGAAAATCAGCTCAAAACCCTGATCACTTTCTCCCACATCGTACCTCACTTGCAAAGCCCTCAGTACAAACTTTCCTAACTAACTGGATTTAGAGCATATGATGAGTAAATGCTCACCTTCTCCTGGACTTGAATAGGTTGTTTAAATATGTTATTCTCTTCTGTTATGGATGCCCATATGTGACAAGTAATCACAGTTTTCATATTTGTATGAAACTCCCAAATGTCTCACTGACAGTTGGTTAGGCTCTCTAACTTGTTTATGTGTGTTTGTTAAGTAGGTCAACTATAAGACTCAGGCAGCCTCCACTCTAGGGTCAAATGAACAGTGCATTGAACTTCTCTGTAGTTAAACGGCCCTGAGAAAGACTGGCTCCTACTTGTCTGTTTGGGAGAAGATTCCCTATAGCAGTACTTTGATAAGCATCCTGAGACAGAACGGATTATTTTTAACTTAGAATTGGGAATTCTTACTGAAAATATTTAAATTGCCAGTCAGCTCAGAGACAAGAAGAAATATTGACTGCAAGTCTAACTAGATTAGTTATCTGAATTGAGGGTTATCTGAATCTGGAAGCATGCATATTGGGATACTGACTCTGCTGTGGGTTACACCATAAGGAGAAGGAGGAGAAGGAGGAGCAGGGGAGGCGGGGGAAGGGGAGGAGAAGAAGAGAGGGGGGGAGGAGGAGGGAAGGGGGAGAGCGAGGAGAAGAAAAAAAAGATTTGGAGGATTAGTGACAAAGAGATTGAGGGAACTAGCTAGTATGTGGATAGACCCAAGTGTAAAAATATTTGTGGCCCATATGAATCTTCATTAACCTGCTGTGTAAGAGGGTTTCAATAAGCAAGTGGGCAAGCTGATCTTCCCTATGGATGTTAGCTGCTGTTTGTTCAGCCAACTCTATTTGCTCAAGAAGCTTTTGAACATAGCGACCATGGCTGCCAGGATGGAGGATGTGCATAGGCTCAAAAAATTTTTTTCAAAAGCCTTTCTTTCACTAAGACTAATCTAGTCTTACCATCACTGTTGAGAGTCCACTTTGCAAGAGCCGCAGCCAATCCTGGGACAGGCAGTCATCTGGTGCTAAGTTGATTACACTGAACTCTCTCCTTGATGGAGAGAGCAAAACTTTTCTTGAAAGCAGGTATTTGTTTTGGATTTGGATTGGCTTTCCATACCCACCATGCTTCTGTCAGTACTGACTTGATAAAAGCCCTGCTCATACCAGCCCCAGCTTAGCTGGACGTTAAAATGAGATGATTTGTTTTTTTCAATGTCTACTTTCAGCTGGGTTCTTGTGACTCTTTCTTCCCTATTCCTTAATGATACCTTGGGCAGATCCCATAGCTTTCTGATCAATTTTAAGTATTAATGTTCCTTAGTTTATTTTTAATTTTAAATTTTATTGTCTATCGAATAAGTTACAGAGTCAAAATACAAGATGCACAAAAAAGCATACACTGAAAAATCTCTCTCTGATTTTTCCTTTTGTTAGGTTTGGGAATGATATTGTAGTTCCATAGGAAAATGTCCTAATTTTTTAGAGATGGCTACTGAAATATTCAAGGGTGGTATGTCATGACATCTATAGTTTACTTTAACATATTTCAGCAGAGAGAGAGAAAGCAAATGTGGCAGAATGTGAACACTTATGAAATCGAGGTGAGTATATGAATGTTCATTATGCATTATACATAAGCCTTTGGGAGTAGATGTGTTTCAGAATTCAGATTGATTATAAGGAATCTCAGTTCAGTTCACTTCATGATTTGTCCCAGGTGAGTTTTAGTGCCAAATTTATGGAAAAAAATAATTTTCAGAATGTTATGGATTTTAGAACTGTGGATAAGGAATTCTGGATATGTACTAGATCTCTATTTAACATTTTCAAAATAAAACATTTTTAAAGAAAAATCTCTATCCTACTCCTACCCCCATTCACCTGATTTCATTCTATGGAAACAGCCAAAACTATTGATTTCTTATGTAGCTTTTCAGAGATATTTTATGCATGTAGAAGCAAATATTTATTTATAATTCATCCACATTATTTTGCACAAATGGTAGAAAATTATGCGTATTGTGCCCTATTTTGCTTGTTTTATTGAATAATAAATCTTGGAGTTTTTCCTATTGCCATAGACATAGATCTACCTCTATTTTTGACAGTTGCATAATATTCCATTATGCAGATTCATTTAGCCAGTCCTCAGTTGCTGAGAAATGAGGCTATTTCCAATTGTTTTCTATTTATATAAACAGTGCTAAACTAAATAGTTTCATACATACATAATCTTACACATGTCTCAGATTATCTCTAGAATAAATTCCTAGAAGTAGAAATTCTGAGTCAAAGAATATATGCATTTGTAAAATTGATATACACTACTAAATTGCCCTCCAAAGTGGTTTTAAAAAGTTACAGCTCTCTAACAATTTCCAAAGTGATATCGCCTCCAATCTCACCAAACTTTTTGATCTGTGCCAACCTGATAGATAAGAAATCGTAAGTCATTGTAGCATTAATTAGCATTTCTTTAAATATGAACCAGATTGAGTAAATTAATATTCATGTATATTTTCTTTCTGTGAACAGTCTGTTCATACCCTTTCCCTTTTTCCTTTTGGTCTTTCTCTTGTTGACTTGTATGATCATCATATATTAAGGAAATTATCCTTTTGTGATAATTTGGAATTTTTCTATTCTACTTTGTAGCGGTTTTAGTTACAAAGAAATTTTTAATTTTTAAGTAGTTAAATTTACTAATATTTTATGGTTTTTGTGATACTAAGAAAGCCCTCCCTTGTGCTAAAACTATAAAATAAAATTCTCAGGTGACTTCTTCTAGTACTTTTATGGTTTTATTTTTTTTCTATTTAAATTTTTGAACCACCTGGAAATTATCCAGTTGTAAGATGTGAGGTGTGGATTACACTCTGTTTTTTTCAGATATCTACCCAGATGGCCCAGTACCATTTATTGAATAATCCATATTTTCTCCACTGACTTGAAATGTCATCTTTATAATATTTGTGCTTAAATATTTGTGCCTACTTCGGGATTTTCTATGTTGTTTGTACTACAATGTTTTATTCACTGTAATGCTAAAAGATAAACTGAAGCATATTACAAATTTTAAGAGTTTATTTGAGCAAAAATTGATTCCAATGGGCAGTGCCAAACCAGAAGTGGTTAGGAGTGCTCCACCAGCAGGAGCTCTGGAAAAACTTTTATAGAGAAAAGGTGGAAACAAAACAAGGAAATTATTGATTGGCTATAGCTTAAAGCCTAGTTTGTGACTGGCTGTCCTTAGGTTTTGATTTCATAATCTTCAGGCATTTACAGGTTTAGATTTTGGTTTGCTTACATAGGCTGCTACATACGGCATTAGAGCCACCTCAATCTAATGGTCTCCTTATTTAATTAACTTAACAGTAGCTTGTAAGATGTTTTAATACCTGGAAGGCCTATGTCTTCCTTGTTATTATTCTTTTCTGAGTTTTCCTGGCTGCTAATGCTTGTTTACTTTTCACATAAACTTTAGAAGCAATTTACCCAGTTCGAAAACAAAATTCCACTTTAATTCTTGTTGGCATTATATTAAATACCTAGAGTAACTAGTAAGAAAAAATTGATATGTCTCTTCCTCCATATCTTGGGTCAGGCAACAACATTTAAAGTTTTCTTATTATTGATCTTGTAATTTCATCAAATTAGTTTCTCAATATTTTATCTCTTTTGCTGCTGTTGTAAATGGGGTCTTTTGTCCAGTGTGTGTGTGTGTGTGTGTGTGTGTGTGTGCATGTGTGTGTAGGAAAGCAAGTGACTTCTCTTGTTTATTTTTACAAATATATTTAATTTCATAAACAAATCCTGGGGTACCTTTGTATATCTAATATGATGATAATTTTTACTCCTTCTTTCAAGTGTATTTATTTCTCTTGCTAAATACATTGTCTAGTTCCTCCAGAATAATATAAAACAATAGTAATGAGAGTGGACAGCTTTCTAGCATGTTGCTTACTTCAAAGGGAAGGCATATAATGTTTTCTCTGAAAAGCAGGATGATGACGGTTGAT